GTATATATATATATATATATATATATATATAAAAATTTAAATAGCAAGCCCAGCCCAGATGAGAAAAAGTAACGCAAAAGTAACGTAACGCATTACTTTCCATAAAAAGTAACTAAAAAAGTAACTTTTTAGGGAGTAATGCAATATTGTAATGCATTACTTTTAAAAGTAACTTTCCCCAACGCTGCACATCTCTATTTTATAACACACTAAAACAAACACAGACAGAAGCTCCTCTGTTGAAGAATGATGCCGTCTTTGAGTTTGCAGCGCTTGACTCTTCAGATTATCATTTGAAACACTACCAGCAGAGGAAACAACATCCTTCTGAGCAGCATCCACAAACCTGCTCAAGTTCTTCAGGATGTTTGACATCAATCAATAAATATATAGAACCTTTAAACCGCAGGGCTTTTTCAAATTTTCTTCTTGAGGATGGACAGAGTTTGACGAGCGTCTCACAGCGAGATGATGATCCACATGGTTCATTGGTTCCCCATCGATTATGAGCCTGGATGAATAATCTCTGCACGTTTGAATTTTCCTTTGAGGAAAACTGAACGGCTCCAGATACACCAGCAGGATTTTGCAGAAAGTGTTGCTCGTGTAAAGAGATTGACCTCTACAGATGGTGAAAAGTAACACTCACAGCAAATGTGAATAAAATAGGTTTTAATGGGTAAATAAAACTTGCCAGACGGAGTGTAATTTGATTAGAAACAGAAGCATAAGACAAGGTGTTAACTGAAGTAGTTTATCCGTGACCGTATGTAGTACGGCCTGACATGACATGCACAATTAAACACATGCAACTCACATACTGGCATCTTCTATCAACTCTAAAGTTCAACTACAAGTCTTTGTTTACAGAAAAAGGTTCTTACATACAGAATATTCTAATTCAGCAACCAAAATTAAAATTTGACTTAAATAGCACTTTAGTGTCATTGAGATACTTTTATAGTTTTTATTAATAATTTTAATTCAGTTTTATTTTTATATTCTCTGTTCATTTTAATTTTGAGGTTTAGTCATTTTTTGTCTTTTTATTATTTTTTTTAAACATGTCTATATATTTTATTATTTTTTATTTCAGTCTTTTTATTTTAGTCATTAATGTAGTTTAATATTATTTTAGTCATCAAGTTAAACGAAATAAAAATGAGAACTGTTGCCTTGGCAGCTAGCTGTTTTATTTAATTGCATTATGTTTTATTTATATTGACTGCAATTCTTTTTTTAATTCATTTCATTCATTCAGTAAATGCCTCATTCAATGTTTTAAATGTTTTAGTTAATTATAATAACCTTGGCTGATTGTCACAAACACATATTCTATTGTAATTTTGATTGAATTAATAATAATAATACATAATTTAAAACATATTAAGTAAAAGTTTATTGTTTAAATACTTTTAGTTTTTACAAATATATAAATAAAATATATATTTTTAAAGAAATACAATGGAAAATACAGTTTCGTGGTCGGTAAGAAAAATATTTATGGCCTACAGTTTCTGAACAGTTTAAAAAAAACACACAACAAAAAAAGCTAATTTCATTGTCATTTTGAAAACAAAAAACATTAAAAAAATTAAAAGAATAAAAAAAAAAAAATAAAAAAAAAAAGTTAAAAAAAAAAATAAACAAACAAAAAAAAGATTATTTTAAGTACTTAAAAAAAAAACAAAAAGAAAGAAAATATATTTTTAAAGAAATACGTGGATTCTTATTACTCACCTGTAAAGCAGAGCAAGAAAACGGTAACTCTCAGAGGCCACATATCCAGACGAGTGAAAATATCTCCAATTGAGAAGCTTCCAATAAAGATCCAACGGTCAGAGACACAGTCGTCTCATTATTTCCATGAGACGCTTCCTAAAAATCTCCTATCCACAAATGAGAAAAATCACATTAAGTCAAACGGTGGGACATTCTTCGATGGCTGTCATTTGTGCAATGTCAGAGTCCGTCCCCGGTTGTCCATCTGCAGTCGGTCTGGAGGAAGATCTAGCGCTCCTCAGGTGTGCCGGTGAACTTTGGAGTGTCTTATCAGCACCTTCCTGTTTTCTGCTGTTGGCCTCCACCCATTAGGGGCGTCTATAGAAGTTCCTCACCACACACACATCTCGAATTTCAGGTTTTATCAGTTGGAAAACTGAAACTGGAAATGAAGCACTTCTCAGAAAGGTGCGGGAGAAATGAAGCACGTCTTCGGGCGGGACGTGGGTAGATTCAGCTGGCACAGATACTGCACTATATTACCTATAATGACGCAAAACATAATCATTTTACTGCATGATATCACGTGGAACAGAATCGGTGACCGACAAACTAAAGCAAACAAATGTTGCACTTTAATTTCAATTAAAAAATGCACATTATTAGGCTTTGACCCTCTTGATCTGTGCTTTATGAGCACTTGTTGGTCTAGCATTAGATATATTTGCATGTCTGTGGACAGGACTTATTTACTTGTTATTTACACATAAAAAAAGGTAAGAATCATAAACTAAAGTGAAAACGCAGAGTGGGACCTAACAAGTCAAAACCTGTTAGTCTTCAAAAAAAAAACAAAAAAAACTTTCCCTTTTCATTTGATCACACTTAACGTTTTCTTTAAAAAAAATTATTCACAACATTTGGCCTACATCTTGCAGCATAGCACATCTGCTTGGTCATGCCTTCTGCCAATGCTGAATGAATGCCAGCTATGCCAGCTTTATGCCAAATCTGGGTCTTGAAATAAATAATTACATAGTAAATGTATAGGGTTGCACAATTTTGGGAATATTTAAGTGCACTCCATGGGAATTAATCAACTGACATTTATGTAGAACTGACAGAAGCAAACATTATCACTGTGATTTAAAAATGTAACTATAATAATTTAGAAAGAGAGAAAGAGAAAGACCTTTATTGCCAGGAATGTTTACACATACAATTAATTTGTTTTGGTGACAGAAGCTTCCACACAACAAATAGAATAACAGTGGCAAGACAAGACACAGATAATAAAAAGAATAAAACTAAGTAAATGGGAAATTACAATATAAAAAAAAAAAAAAAAAAAATAAACAAAAAAATAAAAAAAAAAAATAAACAAACAAAAAAAAGATTATTTTAAGTACTTAAAAAAAAAACAAAAAGAAAGAAAATATATTTTTAAAGAAATACGTGGATTCTTATTACTCACCTGTAAAGCAGAGCAAGAAAACGGTAACTCTCAGAGGCCACATATCCGAGTGAAAAAAAAAAAGTAAAAAAAAAAAATAAACAAACAAAAAAAAGATTATTTTAAGTACTTAAAAAAAAAACAAAAAGAAAGAAAATATATTTTTAAAGAAATACGTGGATTCTTATTACTCACCTGTAAAGCAGAGCAAGAAAACGGTAACTCTCAGAGGCCACATATCCAGACGAGTGAAAATATCTCCAATTGAGAAGCTTCCAATAAAGATCCAACGGTCAGAGACACAGTCGTCTCATTATTTCCATGAGACGCTTCCTAAAAATCTCCTATCCACAAATGAGAAAAATCACATTAAGTCAAACGGTGGGACATTCTTCGATGGCTGTCATTTGTGCAATGTCAGAGTCCGTCCCCGGTTGTCCATCTGCAGTCGGTCTGGAGGAAGATCTAGCGCTCCTCAGGTGTGCCGGTGAACTTTGGAGTGTCTTATCAGCACCTTCCTGTTTTCTGCTGTTGGCCTCCACCCATTAGGGGCGTCTATAGAAGTTCCTCACCACACACACATCTCGAATTTCAGGTTTTATCAGTTGGAAAACTGAAACTGGAAATGAAGCACTTCTCAGAAAGGTGCGGGAGAAATGAAGCACGTCTTCGGGCGGGACGTGGGTAGATTCAGCTGGCACAGATACTGCACTATATTACCTATAATGACGCAAAACATAATCATTTTACTGCATGATATCACGTGGAACAGAATCGGTGACCGACAAACTAAAGCAAACAAATGTTGCACTTTAATTTCAATTAAAAAATGCACATTATTAGGCTTTGACCCTCTTGATCTGTGCTTTATGAGCACTTGTTGGTCTAGCATTAGATATATTTGCATGTCTGTGGACAGGACTTATTTACTTGTTATTTACACATAAAAAAAGGTAAGAATCATAAACTAAAGTGAAAACGCAGAGTGGGACCTAACAAGTCAAAACCTGTTAGTCTTCAAAAAAAAAACAAAAAAAACTTTCCCTTTTCATTTGATCACACTTAACGTTTTCTTTAAAAAAAAGAAAAAAAAAAAGAGATGGTTTTCTAAAAATGAAACTCTTGATAAAATGCGAGTCTATTATTAAAAATAATTTTTTAGAGTTTTTGTATAGAAATAATAGAAAATGTTAAAATAATAATCAATATATTACATATCAATAATCAGATGCTTTATTTATTTATTTTAAATAATTCAAATTATTTTAAAATATATATTTTTTGTAATAAATCTGAAACATTTTTTGTTTACATGACACTATAGTTCATTTATGTAAGTGAGGATAGCAAAATAAAGTAAACTGTGACAAATCATACCCAAAAATTATTCATACAGTGGACTACCAGTAAAATTGATACAAATTTGGGTCCAAAAATTATTCAGCTATCTATCTATCTATCTATCTGTCTATTATCTATCTATCTATCTATCTATCTGTCTGTCTGTCTGTCTGTCTATAATCTATCTATCTATCTATCTATATCTATCTAATATTTTTTTTCTGTTTTCATAATTTTAGTTAAGATTTTGGTACTTTTTTTTACCATTTTCATTAGGTTTCATTCATTCATTTTACAAATTGTTTACTCTCTACATATTTTTAAATTGTTTTTTATTTCAGTTTTAGTTTGAGTTATTTTAGTAACTTAAAACTAAATGAAAATGCGAAATGAGATATTTTTTATTTACTTTCAATAAAAATTTCATGTAAAAAGTAAAAAAAAAAAAAAAAAAAAGGTTTTAATGTTAGGTAACTATAATAACGATAATGATTTGAAATAGAAATCTTTTGTAACAAATAGTTTTCTGTTGATTTTGGAGTGAAATATGATCTGCACATGTTTTTGTGAGATTCACTCTCATACCATTTAGAGCAATTGTGAAATGAGTAATTAAATTCCTTGGTTCATTAATGACCTCAGATTTCAGAATGAATTCAGCCACCTATGATCTCATGATCATAAACAACTACCAACGTCCTTCTGCTTCACCAACAAGCGATTAGACCGTTCACTTCATCCTAACATCCCTGCGGACAGCGTCCCCATTCATTCCCCGTGAGAGCCTGGTTTGGGATGGGCCTGCTCTGTGTGAACCGCTGCGGATGTGAGACGACTTCAAACGTCAGCCATAAATGAGCGAGAGACGCAGCATTATCAGAATCACACAGCTATAACGCGCAAGGTGTTCTTCGTCTCCATGGAAGGAAGGAAACAAATTACAGAGCGCTGACAGCTGCATCGACAGATGCATTCACAGACTCACGAGCGCTAACCTGAACCACATCACTGACAACCCACAGCGTTAGTTTACTATCACTGACTATTTTTATTTATTTTATTTTTATGTTTGATCATATTTTATATTTTATCACATACAAATATGTCTTACGGAGTGATTTGCATGGTAATGAAGGCTACATGACAATAACTACGTTTACACGGACATCAGTAATCTAATTATTTACCTTATTCTAAATAAGCCAATATTATGATTATGGTGTTTACATGAGTTGCTTTTAGAATATTCCTTTCATGTTCCCGTTTTACATGTTATAGTACAGAGTTCGATTAATGGCACACATCATTACGTCCCCACGTCACGCCATCCGACGTCCCCTCCGGAATTTCACATGTAAACGTATAGTTCGT